ACCAAGTCGAAACGCCAAGACAGCTGCTACTCGCTGGGCACTAAGTCGAAACGAGAGAGTTACTCACTAAAACTTGAGATGAAGACTTATTAAAAATGAACGAGAGAGTTACTTATTAAAACTACCTAAGTTGAAACTTTTTCTTTTTATCCCTAAAAGAGCCTGCTGGAGGATTGCTTTGCTTTCTAACATCTCTTTCTGTTATCAAAATGCTCTTTAGCACTAGGCGTCTAGTAAGCGATAGCTATTGCTTACCTAGACAAAGGCCGAAGCACTACAGACACACTTCAAGCACAAACTCGTATTTGTAAATAAATCTAGTTAGAACGGCCTCGGCCAAAGTCTTACATAGCCTCGAGCTCACTAGACTCTAATGGAACAATAATATAAGTTTAGTGTTAATTCATTTTCAATAACCTTATCGTAGGTGCAGCAGTATAAGTATCAAAGGGAGGCAAAATATAATGGCGTCGTGCACTACCAGTGTGCTAGTCGCATAGATAATCGATCCTCTCCTATGAATCTATGGTATCGCAACTTGTGGATACCTATGTACATGAACATGGAGTAATCACTCTGGACCTGACTCATGGTCTGCATGTTCTCAGCATATCTCACAACCAAGCTCATTCCTTAATCCTAATGTACTGCGTCCTCTCAACTCACTACAGCCCCATATCCGTCTTACCTACCAAACTGAGGAGGACTCAATTTTTCAGCCCGGAAGTTCGTAGTTACAGACGTGCCACAAATGCGAGGTTTCGCGACCCCCAGATCGATTTCATCAAAACTGTGAAACCACGTCGTCAGCAAAACATGCGATACAAGACCAAAACAACACATAGAAAGAAACACTTACTAGAAGACGGAAAACGAGCCTGCCTTACCCGCAGCATTTGCAGCCTCTCCTCCATTCAACTCCTCCCATCCGAGCAGCTTCAAATTGTCGTAGCCCTGCACGAAGCTAACTTGTGACAGAGACTGGCGGTCCCCCAGCAACGGCTCAATGTATCGCCCTGTCCGCGAGTTGATGGCAAAGCGATAGTTTGCTCCGACGTTAAAACTACGCTGCAGGCCGAGCATCGAGTTCATGACGCGGATTTCTTCTTCATCCTCGACGATTTGCCCAAGAAAGGTTTTGACTCTTAGTACATCTGCATGTACTAATAGCGAGCGAGAGTTAGTTTTGTGTCCACTCCACATACAGTGTTTTTTTTCTCTTTCTTCACAGCGGGTCACTAGAGCTCACTTCTGACTTCGTAGACGCCACCCGTCTTTCCGCTCAGGAGTCCCTTCCCACTGGTTTTCAGCATTTTGAGTGCCTCGGGCGTGAGTTCGGTGCTGCGCAAGCAGAAGCCCGTTGTCGGGGGTATTTGCGCCATGGCGGAGGCGAGCTTGTCGTCAGCGAAGATGCCAGCCCAGCTGCCGATGGAAATGACTTCTGATTCCGTCATGCCTTACAGCTCCTGGGCTTTTTTTTCAGACGTCGCGGACGCGTTACGTGTGGCGCGCATCGAAGAAGGCCTTGGTGACGATATCGGTGTCAAGTGGGTTAGTCTTGTAGTTGACGTGGTAGCTCTCGAAGGCGGATCGCATCGAGGTGAGTGTCGTCCTTTCTTTCAAGGTGAAGCCCGCGGCCTCAGTAAGAGTGTCCATGGTTTTTGAAGCGACAGTAATGGAATGCTGCGTAGAAAAATAATTGCAGGAAAGAGAACACATGTAAGACGACCCATTGTTGCATGTGTTCTACCTCAGCACTGCAATATCTCCCTAGGCTTATTTCCGCAAGTGAGACAGTAAAAAAATCGAGCGAGTGTTGGAACCAAGCCTTTGAAAAAGATAGCTTTACTTTGCGGAAAACTGCGGGTTTAGAAGTACATGTAATGAAGATAGCGAATTTTGTAACAGATACCCCCAGCACCTATAAACAGTATACATGGACTCGGGCAAGTATAGTAGTCAGATATGTGTGTCATCTTGAAATTGAGTCATTTACGCCTGGGCAAGACCTCTTCCCAAGTCGCAGGCGTCACTTCCATGATTTGTATCGTTGTTCTAGGTTGTCGAGGCACCGCCACAGTGTCGGGTTTGCTGGATACAGACGGCAATGGTTGGTAGGCGATTGATTGTAGCTTGTGGACATGCAGGTTCTCAGCTGCAACGGTAATTATTCAATAATGGTCGTGATAAAGTTTGAGATGAACGATGGTGACGAAATGCCAAACTAAAATATGGGTTCCAGAATGTATTTTGGGGTCCCGTCGACTGGTGTAGCCAAGGAACGTTGACAAGGGTGTGATGCTAGTTTACAAGGCACTTGGATTATACCTGGTAAGCGTGGATGTTTCTCAACTAGGCTTCCGTCAGCTTGTTACCTGCACAAACTGAAAGATTTCGGACTGAGGAGTGGGTGAGATTCCAATCGCATCGAGTTCGCCCAACTATGATATTGATGGGGGCGCACTTGTATTGGTGTTCCTGTAAGTGTGCTGGAGCAGGATGTGTAAACTTAAGGTATTGCTTAATTGATTAGTTTTCCCCTACTCAAAGAACAATTAACGAGTTGATTGATTGTATCTTACTCAGCTCCACTGCGGGGAAACCGCACTGATGTCCGGTTGGCTGGCTTAGAGTCTGTCAGATTACGCGTTTCCAAAGTGTAGCTGTAAATAGTATTATCTTTATGTATTCTCCGATGTTGAATGTCCTAAGCAGCACACCATAATTAAAGATACATGTTCGAATGTGAAATGATCTTACCACCTGTATATAGTAACATATCATTATAAGTAAGAGAGTACCTATGTTATTGTTGTCATTATTGTATTCTAAAGTCATATTTGAACCCAAGGGCTATATAAGACGTGCAGGGCTAAGGCCCACAAATATCTATGTAAAACCTTCCATTCTAGGAGTGCAAGAGGGGGCTATCTAAATACAAGTGAGACTCGTGGTTTATCACAAAGAGGAGAGGAGGAAAAAGAAATGTAGGAGAGGTAAGAGAGATTCGGGTAAAAAGGGGAGGTAGGGAAGGACGCCTAGTATAGGTGTTTGCTCCTGATTTTAGTATGCTTTATACTTGGCCTGAGTGTTAAACTTATTGTCTTGAACAAAAGACAGTAGTAGCCTCTATGCCTTTTTCCGTGTTGAGAAGAGAGGGTAGTAACAGAGGTTCCTCGCAAGAATTCTGTAGTTTGATTCTAGCATCTATATATAGTGAGAGCCTAAAGAGGATATATGTAGTGCTTTATATCAACACTAGATATAAGCAACTATGAGTGCAGTTAACTTAGCTTGCTTTGTAAGCTCAGCCTCGGCACAGACATTACCAGCCCTGGCGCCGGCGCTCATTGGCTGACTTAGCAATATAGGCGCCACAACCAACGTTCCTTCTCTAAGGCCCGCCTTCTTCTCACCACCTTCGATTTTCTCCAACTATCTCGCCTCCATCTGCACACGTGGCCTTTCACCAAACTGACTAGTGTACGCAGAGCGGATGCACCCGCTTTGTCATTCCCGCCTCACCCAGCTCAACCGTCATAGTATTTCTCCTCCGGTGCACAGCTCGCCATGGCAGCGTATATCAACCTTAGCTTCCAGGGTATGTTACCATTATAAAACAGTCATAAAAGGCCTGAACTTCTCACGAAATGCTAGGGACTGTCTATTTTGCTGCACATCGTTCTGCCGAAGTTGGCGCTATGCTGCAATTGTATTCAAACAGGCTTGTAGGCGTAGCAAGGGGTGTGTAGTTGCACCATCGCCTGGAATGAACGAACAAAAGTGCTCATAGAGGTAGAATCCACCTTTGATGTTTTGTACGCGCAGGTCGCCCGAGATTGGCATCAGCAAGACGACCTTGTTACACCCTTTAACGACCGTCGATGGACGCACGTTAGAGCGGTCTGGACCTTTGACCTTGATAGCGATTTTCTGCGATTGAACCAGAAAGATCGCGACTTTTGCGTTCCTCTCAACCTTGTTCGCCAGCGTGCTATGACCATTTCTGACTTCGAGCCTTACACACTACCGCCGACTCTCGCCAAACACGCCTTACAATCTGTGTACTCAGCGCCGTGCTGGAAAATGAGACGCAATATCGACCTGCGGCAGCTACAGCGACGCAAGGCTTTCGTCTCCAGGATACTCGCCGATTTTGCGTTCCAGTGGAGGCACGTCCTCTGTGGTCGTTACAATAACTCTACGTTTCGAAGACTTGCCAATGCTATCGTCAGGATTGTTACCCTGGACTTTACCGTACAAGAAGCAACGCTCTCACGCCAGGGCAAAGGTGGCTTCCTGGTCTGGATAGACAACCTCCCAGAGTGGGATTTTGCAAGTGGACACATTGTGAGAGTCGGTGGGACGTCCATCGTCATATGCCAGCATGCCCCGCACGCGGTCACGCTGGTCCGAAAGGATTTCGGGAAGCAGATCATGTCCAACCCTGGCTCGAAAGAACAAACTTCCACGTATCTCATACTCTCGGTGCGGGAGCTTATTCTGTATCGAATAAACAGCGAGTTTGAAAAATATACAGAACCCAAACGTCTATTTGATGGGACGAATCCTCCGTCTGACGAAGCTATCGAGCTCCTTCTCCAGGCCACACACACCAGTGCCCCCACAACTCCTCTTCACAAGCTCCCTATTGAGTTACAAGATGCAATCCTTGACAAGGTATCAGCAGGGCCCATCGAGAGCGCCAGAGTTGGCTGCTTACTTGACGCTGGGACAAATTTTACATGGCGGTGCGGCAACCGAGATATCCAAAGAGAAGAGGGCCGCCGGTCTAGAACACCGTGGAGTCATGTGGAGTCGTATATTCTGTTCGGTGGCTGTCCTAGTGGCATAGCACATAAGTAAACTTATTCGAAAGCCTATTATGAGACATCAATCCGATCTATCAGTCTGTCGCGCTGTAGGAAGCTTGTTAATTGCAATGATTTTGGATGGATTGTGAGTCGTACGACCTATAATCAGTTGAAAGAACGATAGGAAAACTGGAATATCTCCGTCTGATGGCCATCTGAAGCAACCAGAATAGCGAGAACAGCTAGAAACACCAGAACGACGAGAGTAACCTAACAGCTCAGACTGCATCTCATTTCAGCACTACAACGATGGTAGAGTTGTACATGTGATGTATTCGCATTACCAAATACTCCACTAGAACCATGTAGAAAAGACACTATCATTTTATTCTACCAAGTATAGGAAATGTTTCATCTGTAATCTAATAATAGGTCATACAATGAGTAATATAAGGAGCGCAATCACTAACTAAATAATCTGATGATTCCATCTGGATAGGTACTTGTTCATATAGAATAGTCCCCTAGGTTCACTAGTGACCCGTTTCTATTCCTCTCAATAAAGTGCCCCTATTATCATTGAAACCTTTTAGTTGGCGGTTGGTGGTTATGCTGGGGGACAAATTGGTGGATATTGCGTCCCTGGTGGAAACGCATTAGAGCAGTGACCGTGGTAACATATCGTCCAACAATGATCATCGCAGTTGAGAGCCCCAATGCAGGTGCAGAACTCGTTGTCGCACCCTTTCGCTCGTTTCTAGGTAGAATTAGACGAGTCCACTGTAGAATATAGGAGCTTAGCAACCAAAAACTGACCTCAAGTGACTTTTCACTATGATCAACAGGGATAGCGGATGCTATCGAAGTGAGCACGACTAGCATTATTGTCAAACGCATTTCGGGAATTCTTGATGTTGTATAGGAGAGAGTGGAAGTATTTATAGGTAATCTGGTCAGAGTCTATTGTCTAATATAAAAATCTACCTGCAGCGAATATTTGTATTTTTAGGTGTCGGTTCTCTACTATCACGTTATAGATCTTGTAAAATTAATTCAGGCTCTATTGTCAAGCTACACCTACGCCTACGCAACGGTACAAGGGAAAGTATCATATCTCGTGATCGAACGGGCCTTTGGCCTGCCCTGGGTCTTCGTTTTATTTTCTATTTTAATCTTCATGCATAGCGTATAAATTGGTAAGAAATAAGCTTTCGAGCTTAAAATGGGTTTACAAGTCTTGATTGATTTAAAGTCATGAAACAGGCCCGAGTATTACAATACGTAATCATGTATAGGAAAAAGATCAATAGGGCAAATACAGTAATTACAGCCATTTTAGGCCCAATTAACAGTATCAGGGCGTCCCGAGTAAAGGGTTCGCTATTGTTATACATCGTTCCAAATTGTCAGCATCGTACAATGTCGGCATATCTCATGCCAGCATCTAGCTACCTTACTATATTCTTAGCAGTGGGTCTCTTGCAGAAAGGTTGATCACAGGCTGCATCGAAACACCTAGAATTGCCGGCATGAAAAACTTTCAATCGGACCTACCAGCATATACGGTACGAGAAATCGAGGACGAATGAAGGTGACTGCTGACGGCTACACGAAGTTAAACCGTACGAGGACTTCGGCAGAAACCCAGCCCTGATTAAACTTCAAGGATAGGATGTGGCAGGTAGGCAAAAGGTATATTAAGGCAGTGAATGTCTCTGGCTGTAGACTATACCTTATTCCTGCTCTTTTTATCACTGAGATCACATTCATAATCATATTGCCTTGCAATACTTCAATCATGGTTTCATTCAAATCGCTTTTGTTGATGGCCTTTTGCAGTGCTGCAGCATACGCGGCTCCATCCGCGCCAGTCAACGCTGTTGAGTATGCATACAACCACCACGCATCTTGGGTAACGCTAACAACTTCAAAGCGTCTCCATGCCTGCTGCAAGGGGCGCGGAAGCTTTTGATCCATCTCTGGCTGAAACAAAGAGGTACTTCCGTCTAAATTATATTCCGACAGCATAATTCCTGACGCTGGTAGATCTTCGTCTCTAGCCAATAGCGAGGTATCCGATTTGGTGGTCTGAGATCGTGTTGTTGGCGGAAATTTCGACATTGAATGGATCGCCTTGATTGATGGCGCCAAGGATTTTATTATCAAGGCGTTTGTAAGCTACGTCGAGGGCCAGGTCTATGTCACTGCCGGGCAAGGTGTATACGCTTCACCCTTTAGCAGCACAGGAAATGGGCGAGTTGTCTTCCGCGTCTCGTATCTTTCGGGGGATGGTGTGTGGACAGCGGTTGCTCGTATTCTCTTCGATACAGTTAAAGGCGCAGTTGTCAGCGCCATTGACGAAGGGGTAGAGCAGAATGGTGTGGAGGTCCGCAGCAACCTTAATGCTCACTTTAAGAACACCTCCTAGTGGATTCTATGTAGACATTCTAGGGTCGTCTCCTGAAGATGCTGTTTGGTCTTCGTGATTCTTAGATTCCGATACCTAGTAAGGTGCCATGTGATTAGATCAGCTGGAGGGTCTAAAGGAAGGCAAGTTTGGGCAGTATAGAGTCATCTTTCGTTCCAAGGAGAGCTTATTATCGAATATGCCCAAACTGTATTTGATTAGGAACTATAGCATGATGCAACATTGCGATACTGTTGGTTGCTGACTAATCGACTCCATTTGTATCTCCCAGCTCTTCGATACCCTGATACCTCTTAAAGTATTCCGATGCATGTGACTGAACTGGTATAGAAATATCCACGAGATTATGTCCTCTGCTACAGTTAGTGGCAAAAGGTTTCCCCTCGCAAGCCATTTTGCACTAAAATAGGTCTACTCTACAATAATATATTTCTATACCTTTATTTCCAAAATCTCGAAAATCTTAACATATTATACTATTGAATCTTTCAAATGAGCATATTACGTGAAAAAAACAAGAGGTCTTTGTTTGAAGTTACGAATTTTCAGGTCTCTTAGATGATAATTATAAACCTACTGAGTTTTTAGTAAGAAATTATAAATTTCAGTAGGGCTAAAAAGTTGATACAGGAAACCTTTTTCCTAGTACTCTATCACTACCTGAAGCGTTTTTTTTTCTCCACAGATGCGTAAAAAAAAACTTTCAAGAGAAAGAGACATGAATCAAGACTTTCCATGAATATCTTTCGTCTACGGAAGACACCTTGTTACAATAGCGGGAAATTGGAAGAATTTAGTTGCAGATACATCACCGCCAGTAGGTAGCCAAGTGTTACATGCATCTTTCAACGCCGCATCTCGACTTTCCTTGCGAAAATATTTGAGCTGCGCAGCGGCGGCGGCGGCGGCACACTTGTTGCAAGCAGTCAATCCAGTATTTCAACCGGGAGAGACGCAGACATGATGTCCTCCAGAATGCTCTCTCTCCATTCTTCCAGGGCCAATTGGACGTAAGTAGGTAAGTAGCAAAGTAAATCCGCCGTCGAGATTTTCCCAAGTGGAGAAAAGTCTTCCACATGTGCATGATGGGACTCGATACTGTAATTGCACTTGGATTTGTGATAGTAAGCAGCCGTGTTCATCGCCATTTTTTTTTCACTTTACGCCACCTCCGAGTAAGGAAAAGAGCCCTTCTTTCAACACGTGGGATGTGAATCGAGGTCAAGAGTTAGCAGGGAAATTCAAACGATGAAGCCGCAAAAGGGTGCTTGGTGAGTGGCAACTGTTAGACGTCGACTGGGCCCGATTCTGCTTTTGAGTGAAACAGAGACATGCTTGAACGGGGTTGCAATCACATCTTGGGGCATTCCGCGCGGGGCCGCAGAGAGTCTCATGAGCGTCTTGTTTCTCATGAGCGTCACGCGATGATGCTTTTTGGCGAATATATGCATTTCTCAGGAAAACAAGTCGAGGAAAAAGGTTGGATGCAGCATCGTAAGGCGCTAGTGGTGGTGGTGAGGTTAGACAGTGAAAGAGCAGGCGTCGAGCGCGTGAACGGGCCGAAGATTTTAATAGGAGGATAATTTTCATTCCAACTATCAATTCGCTACACTAAGAATAATCGCAATACTAGCTATTTTGTTTTTCGAGGTGCTGTACAGCCTCATCTTTGTGGTAGTTCTGGTGGGGCGCAGCGGGGCATTCGACCGTCCGGCACGGTACCATGCGGCCTTCATTGTTACCTAGCTTGTAACACTGCTTCTTCAATTTTTCACCAACCGCGGCCAAACGACAAGCGGCATGCGGGCAACCATGTCAAAGTAAGCTACGAGCATTGGGTCGAGTCCCAATTCCGCTGCGCGCTTGACCCACGCCTCCAGCGGGAGCACCTGGGCATCTCCCCCCGTTTCCGCATCGACATAGGCCTTGATATTGGAAAAGGAGATGTCTGTTTCACCGTGGTCGTGAAGGTAGCGCAGTGGAGACTCGCCGGAGCCGTTGTACGAGGGTGTGTGAATGGCGCGCATGACGCTCGTCACCACATCGTCCAGCCATGTCAGATTCATGGAGCCACGGAGGTTCGACGAGAGAGGCACGGCGTTGGCGAGCTTGCAGTATTGGAGGAGATTGCCTACTACTTCGAGGGCGGCGTTGCTGGACGGCGAAGGTGAAGTGTCTGAGTTTGGCTCCGTGGAGCGCACCCGGCGTTGCACGCTGGTAAGTCTGTGAATACTTATGGGCCATGTCCGGTTGTTTTGTTCGTGCAACCTCTCCAGATATCGCTCGCTCGCCCACTTGCTCGCGCTGTACCCATCAAAGGCGTCCGGAGGGGGTGGGTATTGCGCTGCAGACTCTTCGCCAAACTCATCCAACCCAGAGTACTGCAATATGCTCGCGGTGGAAATGTACGAGATTGGTATCTTCTTCTTGGCTAGCAGGCACATGGAGACGATTTCTTGCGTCGAAATTGTGTTTGTCGCTCGCAATGACTGATATGTTTTGAAGTGAGAAGTGTCAGCTCCGTTGTGAATGATGCAATCTGCCTCTTGGAAAATTGCCTTGGCTTCGGCATCGTCCAGGCCAACCAATGGAAGACTAAGCTCTCCCTCGTGCAAGATGACTTTGCTATGTTTGAAGAGCGGGAGCGATGCTATGCGCGCACTCACATTGCGTACTGCGATGCAATGAATCTTGTCAACGTTTGAGTCCTCAATCAAGGCTTGAAGGAGCCCCTGACCAACTAAACCAGTTGCTCCAGTCAACACCACCACTTTCGGCGGCGAAACGATAGGAGAAGTCGCGTCAGTCAGCGCCGATACGGTTGGTTCCGATATCGCCGTTTCTGCGTCCCAATCGAATTGTTCCACGTTCGACTCCCTTCCCTTTTCAATACGCTTTGCCATGCTACCCAAGGTACTAGCCTCAAACATTTGCGCGAATGGTATTTCAAGGCCGAAGTGTTGTTGAATCCGTGATTGTAGGCGTAAAAGCAGCATAGATGTGCCGCCAGCATGGAAGAAATCGGCGTGGGCATGAATTCGGTGCAGCTTAGTGACATCCTTGGATATGACATCTTGCCACAATTCCTTCAGCCGGAACTCAGTTTCAGTCAAATCTGTCGAATCGACATCGTCGTGAAATTGAGGTAAATCCGGGAGCGGCAATGATGCAACCGCTCTGCGATCCAACTTCCCTGAGCTCATCATGGGCAATTCTTCAACAGCTACTGTGACGGCTGGCCACATGTACTGCGGCAATTCGAGATTTGACGACAACTGGTTCAGAACCCGCTGCTCATCAGCCTCAGACGGGCGATGCTGGGGGTAGAATTTGACATGGGCAACCAAAAATTCGGGGCTCGAGGGCGATGTGCGGACAACAGAGACCACGGCATCGCTCAGCATACCATTGGACTCCTTGAGCATGACGTTTTCCACCTCCTGGAGATCGATACGAAGCCCCCGAAGCTTGTGCTGGGTATCGCCAGACCTACGGCCTTCAATGAGCAAACCGCCGTCCTGGCGCCACCGACCGTTGTCTCCAGTGCGGTGCATCGTAGTCCATCCAAGAGATTTGAATGAAGGCGAGGCATGGGGGTCCGAGACGAACTTCTCAGCAGTCATCTGTTCATTGGCTAGATAGCCAGCAGCCACGCCTGCTCCGCCCACGTATATCTCGCCTTGAACGCCAGCCGGAACTGGTCGGAGCTGTTCGTCTAGAACATAGACTGAATAATTGGAGAACGGTCCACCAACAGCAGGAGTCTTCTCGGCGCTCCCATAGAATAGTTCCATGGCCGTTGTGATGAAAGTAATCTCAGTTGGGCCGTACATGTGGAAGAACCGCGGTGGTGGCTGAGGGCCTAGAGTGGCTTGCAGCTCAAGTACAATGTTTGTACCCGGTTCGCCACCGCACATTGCCGTTCTCCAGTGCGTGGCACGACTGAGACTCTGGCTGCTTCCATACTGAAGCCAGTTGGTGTATTCAGATGGCACGCCGCAAGTGACGGTGACACTCTCGGAAGCAATGATGTCGGCGATGGCGCGAGCATCTACCCGCATCTCACGGGGCACAATGCACACTGTGCCGCCATAACAGAGAGCGAAGAAAGCCTGAAGATACGCCATGTCAAAACCGGAAGAGCTTTGTTGGAGAACCACGTCTCTCTCTCCAAATCTGAACAAGGGAGGAACGAATTCGGCCCAATTTCTGAAACCGATGTGCTTCAGAACGATGCCTTTGGGAACACCAGTAGAACCACTGGTATATAGAACCATAGCTGGATCCTCTGCGCTTGGCAACATGAGCGGTCCAGCCGTAGGATAATCATCGGTGACGTGCTCAACGTTGATGATCTTGCAGACACTATTAGTCTCAAGCAGCTGGACGGCTTGGTCCTCCACCTTTGAGTCGACGAGGATGAAGGCGACTTTGCTGTCTTCTGCCATATCTTTCAGGCGTTTGACCAGTGTACCGGCGTCAAACGGCACGCAGACCGCTCTGGCGCCAAGGACACCAAGGACAGAGCAGAGCCAGTCGGGTGTAGGCTCTTGATATACCGCAACCTTGGAGCCTGCAGTGCATCCCATAGCGCAAAGAGCCGCACAAATGGACTGAGACTTATTCAGCATCTCTTTGTACGTCATTGACTTGCCCCCGAATGGCATCTTGAGCGCCACCTCATTCGGCATCGAGTTTGCCATGTCCTGGATGCGGCCAACGATCGATTCATACGGCCATTGGGAACGAACAGCATCTCCTGAAAGGGCAATGTTAGCGATGAAACGACCCCCGAGGCCCGGGGGATCAGGAAGCGAACAAACATACCTCTCCCAAATTGAAGAGCCTTCTCAATCTTCCCTGCGTCAAAGATATCTGGATCGACAAAGGCGCTGTTAGGAGTGTCGATAAACGCATGAATCATCTTTTTGAGGCTTTCAAGCAACGTCTCAACGTTTTCCTTGCTGTATATATCTCCACGGGCGATCAGCATGAGGTGGCATGTATTCGTTCCGGAGTCATCTATGATATCAAAAGAAAGATCGTAAGGGAGTTCGGAAGCCTGGAATGACAGCAATTCCAGTTCGCATTCTCCCCAAGACTCTCTTTTGCGCATTCCCTGGCGATAGTCGAAGAAGGTCTGGAAAATTGGCGATTGCGTCGCAGAACGAGATACGCGGAGCCTGTTTTTTTCTTTGGTCAGGAATATTCTAATAGGACCGATGATGCAGATTGATGGGTGGGTATGAATTCGTATAAAGGAAAGGAGAAGGTGACTTACTCGTTCAACAAAAGCTGAAATGGGACATCTGAATGGGCCAAGGCGGAATCAGCCTTGGATTTGGTCTCTTGAAGCTCGGCTTCAAACTTCTGCGACGCACTATTAGGGAAGCGTAAAGGTAGGAGGTTGATGTATGGGCCAAGGCCCTCCATAGCACCTTCATGAGACCTGTTCGCATCAGCTATACCAATGCATACTTCTTCTGCATCTGCATATCGCGACAACAATGCACGGAACGCGGTCAAGAAGAAGTGAAACGGTCTGATCCTGCAGCGCCGACAGATTTCCCAAATACGTGATTTCGTTGCAGAATCAACAGTCAGGTCGACTCGCTGGTTCTGGTATTTGGTGTATACTGGATGCGTCGTGGCTGCAGAGATGCGCAGAACTGGTAGTGGTGGTGGGCATGGGGCAAGCTGCTCCTTCCAAAACCGCAGGCTCTTCTCAAGCCTACCGTCCTCGACAGCCTTGCGTTGGGCTTGTGCAAATGTAGAGTATTGGTAGATATCAGTGCTCTCAGCGATTGACATATCGTTTTCGTACAGACGCAACAAATCTTGCATGAGGATCGATCCAGATATTCCGTCCAAGACCAAAGAATGCGTACCCTGAAGGAGGAAATAAACTTCTGGAGACAGCTCGAGGAGGATGATTCGTAGGCATTCTCCAAGCTCCACGTCGTAGGCATAGCTCTGCAGCTCCTCAAAAACAGACATGACTTGCTCCTCGCTGGAGATGCGCCTGTGTTCCAGGCGCAACCGGCTAGACTCCATGATGCCCTGTTGCGGCCGGTTATCGAATGCCTTGAAACAGGTGCGCAGCACTTCATGACGGTTGCCAAGTTGCATAACCGCCCTCTTCAAATCTGCGATGCGGAGAGGACCTGTCATGCGAAACAGACCAGTATGGTTCAGCCCAGCCATACCATTCAGGAACTTTAGAACGAACCAAAACATTGTTTGGCTGAATGAGAGCTCCGTCCATCTCTCAACCGCGATTTCCGTAGTCTTGGTGGTAGAGATTGCATGATCCAAGTCTTTGGAAGCCGACATAATGGATATGTCTGCATTGGAGCTAGCCGGGGAGCTGGAACGCTTGGTATCGGTCGAATTTGACGATGAATAATCAGAAACGACACTTTTGTCACTGCTCTCAATACTATTGATTGCCTCAGATTGCAAAGCAAAGGGACCATTGGGCTGTGCCGAGTCGTTGGAATTGGATGACGAAACATTTGGTATGAGAGTAGACGGTACACTATCCACAGCATGAGAAATGAGCTGGCGGATAGACAGACCGCTGAGAATTTTCATCACTGGTAAGTTGGCGTTGACGGTTTTCAGGAGCCAACTTCGGATCTCGACGGCAAGAAGAGAATCAAGTCCTATCCTATCCAAAGTAAGGTCCAGGAATTGGGAATCGCTCAGGTCGGCACCGCCTTGAACCTGGAACAAAGAACAGATGAAAGGTTTCATGGCATCTGTCATGATTTGTGCTACCTGTGCACTGTTTTTGGCAGCCGAGAGTTGAGACTTGACAGAAGCCTTTTCCGTAGAAGCTTTAGAGACATCCATGGCATCGTTGTTGGAAATGAAATGCGTCGCGGTTGGGTTGTCGAACCAATAGGGCAGCTTTTCTGGATTGGAGTTGACTTTATGCAGTCCCATGACGATTTCCGCATTTCCAGTTGACTCTGTACCTGTCCGTCCGGCAACGACTGCTTCGGCAAATACTTGATGGAAGTCCTGTTCTGCGGTGAGGGAGTAGCCTGATGTACGTGGGAAATTCGTCTTGGTCCTGTCGCTCTTTTCTGTTACATAGCCAACGCCTAATATCGGCGCAATGTGCATAACCGAGGCAGCGAGGCCACGCTTCCTGCGCTGCTCCATCAGACTGGTCATGAACATGTTGGCAGCGGCATAGTTTGACTGCCCAGGGTTTCCAGTCACAGCGACAATGGAGGAGAATGCCACGAAAAAGTCGAGATCGACGTCGAAGAACAGCTTGTCGAGGTTGGTGGTACCCTGGACTTTGGGGTGGCAGACCTTCTGCATTTCTTCCAGAGTCATATTCTCAAGTGTTGTATCCACCAACACCATGGCGGCAGAGACGATTCCCCCAATCGGCGGCATGGCAGAACAGATATCCTCATAGAGTGCACGGGTCTGCACTAGATCTGTGAGGTCGCTGAGATAAAAAAGGTAAATCAGCCAATCCAGCTCACAAAGAGGATTAGTACTGGGATTTGAACTTACTTGGAGTAAATCTTGACAATACCACCGAGCAAAGCAACCCTATCCCGCCATTCACGAGATATGTTAGGATTACGACTAGTCATGATGATGTATTTAGCACCTCGAGAGATCATCCACTCGCAAAGGGACAGACCCAGACTGCCAGTGAGTCCTGCAAGCCAGTATGTCTTGGAATCGGAAAAGAGGCTTTGGTCATCCACTGGCCGAAGCTTGACAGGAACACTCTTCACTCCCTCCCACTCTATAACAGTCTGATCATGTGTAAGATTCTGCTTTGGGTCGAGGCCGGGAGCTGCTTTCGATATGTTGTCGACACGAATGACGGTGCCCTCCACACTCAACTGAACTAAGTCTTTCAGGGCGTGCTGTACTGCTGTGCGCAATTGATTGTGGACGTCGTGGGTTGGGCCGGCCGTCTCGAGAGGTTCGATGCAGGCTTTGGTAGCATGTAGCTGAGTGAAGTATGTGACATTGCATTCTGACGGCAGATGCGGGATGATACGGGCGGCCATATCAGTCATGTCACTTGGCTGACTGCCATCACAGGCCAAGAAGAACGAAGCCTTCTTAGGCAGAATTTTGCAGACACTTCGTCCAGGGGCTTCAGAGTGGATCTTCAACCACCCAAGGAAATTGCATCGCCCTTTTTCCAATTTTGAAGATATGATGGTCACGCCGATATTTTTGATCGTAGCCTCTCTTTTCACCGCGTTTGCAAAAGCGAGATTCGGTTCCAACAGGACCACGTGGTCGCTGGAGGATAGATGGCTGACGGTGTCGCTCGCTAGAATGTTTAATTTAACAAGACGTAAGAATCTTGCCTTGGTGGCTGAGTCCTTTAAGAGAGTTTCTTCTCGACTGGATAAAGCCTGACACAAATCATGGGCCGGTCGGATTGAGGATGAGAGTTGATTCGACAATGTCACTTGTGTGTAACTCTCATCCCTTGTAAGGCTCATGTGCCCAAACCCAAGCCCTCTGATGCGGCAAGCGAGGAGGAGAGAGTGTGTTGGTTGTAGGATTTCCGAATCTGCTTCTTGTCCAGCTTCCTCAAGATAGTACTCGTTGTTCTGTATGCCGAGTCTGACTCTTTGGTCATGATTCTTATGGTGGTCTGCACTGTGATCGTCGATTACGACGCTCTTATAGATGGGACGGCGGGCGGAATTGTAGCGATCGTTCATTTCCTTGCTCGGAAGGATACGTGGAATCAGCAGCTGGCCGTCTTTGTCAATCACGTACTCGCGCTCGACTGTGGTGAGTAAGGGATTACTGCCGTTTTTACTGCTGCCTCGTCGAGTGACCCAAGTGGATTCAAGCTTGAATCGCAAGAGGAATTCTGCAATGGTTCTTGCTTTGATGGTACTGGCGTCCTCGAAATCTAAGAATTGGAATTCTAGCGTGGGAATCTCGAGAAGTGCGGCACGCACGAGGCCGACCGTCATGTTCGCAAAGGGATCTTGAGCGCGTCGCCCCTGAGTAACCCACAGTACAGATACAGCCTCATGGAGGATACGCTTCATTGCTTGAAGTTTAGCCTCAGTAAGCTGGCGGAACATTGGCTCGTCTAGGTCAGAGAGGGCAAGAATTGTTGCGCGAGACGAGACAGGTACGTTGTCCGCTGCAACATCGGCCAGCGTACGGATATGGGTCGATTTGCCAAAGAAGTCCTTCAAAAGAAGCTTCACCTCGTGGGCAATGTTCGGGGCTAGAGAGGAGGACTCGCCACCGATGATGATCAATTCATCCATGGGGGCTTCTTCATTTACAGTGTTGAGAGAGCTCAATGCTTGCGGAGAAAGGGATAGCGGGTTGCGCGTGAAGCTTACTCGAGGGTCTACAGCCTGTGACACAAAGACAGTATTGGGGGTTAAAAGAGCATCAACGATGGGTACTTGGGAGTCACAGCCGGAAAATCCAGTGTCACGCAGGAGTTTGTCCCAGTCAGCCAGAGCGAGGTTAGGTCCCAGAGGCCGACCGTCATTCTCTGCGCCCAACCACCAGCCTGGAAACGCGCCGAAAATTGTGCCAAGACGTGCGGTATCATTGTTGACTCCTTCGTTGACGACGAGAAAACCTCCGGGTTTGAGCAAACGCCTTGCATTCAAAAGAGATTGCTTCATGAGAGGCGTTGCGTGCAGCACCTGGGAGGCAATAATTAAATCGTACGAATGCTCAGTGAATCCCTGTTGCTGTGGGTTCTTGCTGATGTCTAGTACCTTGTACACCATGCGTGGGGACGACGAGAAGGAACTAAAGTATTCTTGTGCCCTAAGGAAGAAGCCTGCCGAGATGTCGGTAAAGGTGTACGACGAGAAACTGTCTCCCAGCATGTCGAGAACAACCTTGGTAGCACCGCCTGTCCCGGCCCCAACCTCGAGGATGTTCATATGGGGAAACCTGTAAGTGATTTGCTTGACGGTCCTTGCAAGATACTTTGTATGATGGGCCATGCCGAGTGCGACGGGATAGAAATCATTTAGGAGGTCGTCCTTCATGGTAAGCTCGATTGCCGTTGTCTTGCCAGTGACAATGTCATGCAAATTCTCGCCGATTCTTGTCAAGAGTTTGTAGTCGACGACATGTTCAAATGGCTTGGATGCCATGGCGATGGTCTCTCGTGTATCATTGAACCACTCGTGCTTCCAGAAGGGCAGTTGGCCATTGGCTATGCGGGACTCGATATGCTCTGCATAAGAAAACAGCCTGCTCAGAGGTTGTCCCTCATTTCGACATGGATGATCAGTGGGGATAGAGCGTCGGATCTGATTCAAGTAATAGAGAGATGCTCTCTCGAGAAAGTGAGCCAGCTCAAGTTCATGCGGATCAGGGATTGGGCTGAGGTCATAAGCAGCGCTGGCGGCATCCGGGTATGCACGGTCCCACGACATGACAGACATGATCTCCTTGTCATCTTGAGCAGTGGGTGGAGAGAAAGGAATGCAGTCGAGCCCTTCGACTTGGATAAGTGCATGCACGGGCTTTTCCGAGTCCAAAACAACCGAGGCGGAGTGGCCTTGTGGGGGATAGATGTCCACATCTCCCTTGAAAGACTTGGCCAATCTGTCTTGCAAGTAGGCATTGAATGGTAGCTGTTGGCCGCTCAGGGCGAGTTGCGTTTCAGAGATGCAGAGATTCACTGTGATGCAATCTATCGTCTTGGGAACATGCATGCTCCACAGACTCCCATCAAATGGGGCTGTCCTGGCAAAGAGGATAGCCTGGAAAGCAGCGTCGAGCATACCTGGATGCACCAAGAGAGTCGATTTGAGGTCCTTGGTGGGACCTGCTACCAAGCCAGTCACTGTACCTAATTTTCGCTGCAGCCCGGACAAAGCGCGAAACTGGCCGGTGTACTCGTACTCCAATTGAAGCAGCGACTCATACAATTCCTCGGCCTGAATGGGCAAAAGACTATCAGGGGTAGGGCCCCTGGCTGGGAGGGCATCCGACGCTGGCTCGCCGAGATTGATGGCGACACAGCCACTGACAAGTATACGTAGCGATGATTCGTTGTCTGACGTATGGCCTGTACCCGACGAAGCTGCAAAGTACCGGAAGTTTGCAGATAGCGTGTCCTTTTCTTGAGCAATGTCACTGAGAGAAAAGATTGCTTCCACGGTGGAGTCGTCGCTATCAAAAGTTAACGCTTTGTGGATGTCGATGTGCTGTATTTTGATAAGCTTGGCCGGCCCTAGCTCTGGCGACAAGGCGAGTAATTCCCTACAGGCTTCGATTGCAAGCGCCACGTAACCAGCAGCAGGAAAGACGGTCTGGTTCTGGAGCCGGTGTCCACTGAGCCACGGTATCTCAGCGGGGCTCAGAATCTGGCGCCATCTCAGCTCCTTTTCGGGAACGCTGTCGCTGGTCATGTGCCCAAGAAGTTCGTGGGGCTTTGACCTAGACATGGTGGCCTTGGTGTACCTTGACTCATGCCAATACTCGATATCATGATCCCACGAATATGTCGGGAGGCCGTGGACGAGTTGCGGAGCAGCAGTGTCGGGGCACATGAAGCGGTCCAGTGCATGCAGATTCAAGGGGAAGCGGCTCAGGTGTGTCCAAATGTACCCGATGCCTTCGGCTACTGACACGACATCGGGAGCGCCTCTCTTCAAGAGGCCAGTGTAAGGGATTTCGCGCCCCGCGGTAGCTCGGATGGTCTCGGCTGCTGGGGATTGGAGCGCTGGATGAGGCCCGACCTCGACATAGAGATGCTCGCTCGATGCCATGGAGGCGCACGTCTTCTGCAAGGCCTGCATGAAGAGGACGGGATTGACGGCGTTTTGCACCCAGTAGTCATGGCCCAGAGCATGCAGATCAACGTCTTGGATTTGGTTCCCAGAGACGCTCGAGATCCAGGTGCACGTGGGCGGGGATATCTTTATATCCAAGGCTCGCAGCGAGTCGCCGTAGGGCCCGGCGCAAGGGGCCATGTGGTGGGAATGGTAGGCCTTGTCCACCTTCAACAAGCGGGCGAACTTGTCTTCGTCCTCGAGGATGATGCGCAGCTCGTCAATGGCGTCGGCATCACCAGCAATGGTGAGGCTGGACGAGGCATTGTACGCGGCAATGGTGGCGCGGCCTTGGAAGACGGGCGAATCAAGCAGGTCCAGGGCGTCTTCGGGGGTGATGCCGGCAGCCAACATGGCGCCTTTGTGGCCGTGTGGGCTGCAGGCAAGACTGCTGTGCAGGCCACGATAGTAGGCAATGGCAATGGCATCATGGGCCGAGAGGACGTTGGCGGCATAGGCAGCGGCGATTTCGCCCGACGAGTGGCCCAGAACGGCAGCAAAGGTAATGCCGGCAGCGCGCAGCAAGTCGACGAGCACAATCTGCACCGCTGTACACAGCGGCTGAGACAGCTGGGCCTCTGCGATGCGCGACGAGGCAGCCGCCTGGAGCAGCTCGTCGCGCAACGACCACTGGGGGCGGTCGGCCGGCGGGAGGCGTGTGGCCAGGTGCGTCTCGAGGGAGGCGAACGTGGCGGCGGCAGCGGGCGAGTGTTGCAGCAGCTCAGCGCCCATACGCGGCCACTGGGCGCCCTGGCCCGTGAAGACGCCGACGATGCTGGCGGTGGTGGTGGTGGTGCTGCTGCTGCTGCTGCTTGCATCTCGCACGCCAATGGGGGCGCCAGACTGGAGCTTGTGGCGCAGCTTGGTGTGCAGGTCACGTGCATCAGCCGCGCCTACCGCGGTGGCGTACAGCAAGCGGCTCCTGCGCGCGTGCAGCGTGTAGGCGAGGCTGGGCAGGGACAGCGTGTGCTCGTTGGCCTCGACGTAGGCGGCAAACGCCGCGAGCTGGCGGGCCAGGGCGTGTTCCGAGGCGGCGGAGAAGACAAAGGGCGTGCAAGGAGGAGTGGCAGTGCACGGCGTGGCAGGGCGAGGCCGGCCGCCATCGTAGGCCTCGAGCAGCGCAAAGCAGTTTGTGCCGCCAAAGCCAAAGTTGTTGACGCCTGCTCGCCGCGGCTGGCCTGGCGCGGGGGCGGGCCATGGCTGGGGCTGGAGGGGCACGCGCAGGCGGGTGCTGAAGGGCTGGATGCGGGGGTTGAGGCGGGTGAAGAGCAGGTTGGGGGGCACCACGGCGTGTTGCAGCGCCAGGGACGCCTTGAGCAGGCCCGCAATGCCCGCCGTGCCCTCGGTGTGGCCGCACACGGTCTTGATGCTGCCGACCCATAGGCTCGCGTCGTCGATGTCGTCGTCGTTGTCGTCGTCGTGGGCGTCGTCGGCGCCAGCGGCAAAAAACGCCGTGTAGATGGCCTCGGCCTCGATGGGATCGCCGGCGGGGGTGCCGGTGCCGTGCGCCTCAAAGTACTGCGGGCGGTGGGCGGCACAGCGCGCGTCTAGCCCGGCCCGGCGGTACGTGTCGCGAATCAGGGCCGCCTGTGCTGCTGCGCTTGGCCTGCAAGCGTCCATGCCATCAGTCGAGTGTTACAGTATAGTACGTACGTACGTGTGCGACAAAAAAACCACGCCAGCAACTTACAGGGTGAGGCCACGCGTCTTGCCATCCTGGTTCACGCCAATCTCGCGCACCACACACTCGACATGGTCGCCATCGGCCAGGGCGTCGCTGAGCCGCTTCAGCACCACGGCCGCCACGCCCTCGCCGCGCGCATACCCGTTAGCGCGCGCATCCCACATGCGCCCGCGCCCGTCAGGTGACAGCATCTGCAGCTTGCTCTCGCTTATGTGTGTTATCGGGTCCACGATAAGGTTCGCTCCCGCCGCCACCGCCACCCGCGACTGCCCGCTGCGCAGCTGCTGCACCGCCTGGTGCACCGCCACCAGGCTCGAGCTGCACGCCGTGTCCAGCGTCATCGACGGGCCGTGCCAGTCGAAGAAATACGACAGCCGGTTCGACATGAGGCTGCGCGCCGTGCCCATGATGTGGTACTTGCCAATCGTCTCCGGGTCGCGCATCATCAGCTGCTCGTACTCACCCATCATCAGCCCGACATAGCACCCCGTGTCCGACCCCTGCAGCCCTTCCATCGTCTGCCCGCCCGCCTCGAGCGCTTCGTACGTCGTCTCCAGCAACAGCCGCAGCTGCGGATCCAGAACTTTTGCCTCGGCCGGGTTGATGCCGAAAAACCCTGCGTCAAACCGCCGCTCCACTGCCTCTTGCGACAGAAAGTACGACTTCATCCCCTCGACATTGCTGTGTCCGTGATACGCAGATTTCTCATGGTAGAACCCCTCAGCACCGAATCGAGACGCCGGCACCGATGTCGCCACATCCTTGGGCTTGCAAAGCAGCTCCCATAGCTGCGACGGCGTATTGCTATCACCTGCAAATCGGCAAGCGCTGCCAATGACTGCGATTGGCTCTCCCATAATGCACAATATATATATGTGTGTTTGAGTGTGTGTATTGATTCAAATTGGCTATGGCTGCCTCGTGCGGCCAGGGGAGAGGAACGAGAGTGAACAAAAGTGACTGACGCCTTTCCCTTGACTGGTGTCGTAAGTGCCGTCAATCAAGTCTGTAGCAGATACACTGCTTGAATCACTAGGATGAGGTGTCTAAAGTGCCGTCAATCAAGTCTATAGCAGATAGACTGCTGGAAGGAATATCATGACGAGTCGGACACCATGTTTATTTATACTTATAGTCCTGCTAGAGCCACCGCACCAATATGCCCACCACATGGGCCTTGATACAGACCCTAGAATATTCTGCTCCAAATCGGTCCGTCGTCGGGGGCTTCTCAAAAGGTACTGCAGCTGTCTAGACCATTTGGCCTTCAACTAACGTCTGCATCCTAGTCATACCCAACAGAAGCACTTCACCGAGTCTAGCTGGCGCGGACGTGTCAAGTATCCGGCATCATACCACAGACCGCTAAGCATCATGGGCCTAACGCATTTCTTGCTCACCGTGTTTGTTTCTTCGATAAGGACGGCATGCCCCAAAATTCAACCAGCAAGTACTGTATCCCGGGGTAAGTGTTGTGAAAAGTAGGGCTACCAGGAATATATTAAAGCTAGTACTATATAGGTATGAAGAGCTCTAATATGGTATAGCGCCGCCATTAGCTGCAATTACTGCCTCACACCTCCCTCTCATACTATTTAGTATAGACTAGAGGTACTTAGAAGTAATACTATCCCATGCCTCTATTACTATTTAGTGCACCTGCTAGTTACTATACTACCTACTACTAGGTAAGTCTAAGTAGTTTTCTTTAATATAATCCTTCATCTAATCCCACACTATCTTAATAAGATTTAAATCTAGTAACCAAGCTAGCTAACGTAGAACTAAAACCCCTCTTTGCGCAAGCTCACTTTTGGTTCTTTTAGCTCAATAGGATAGCCCGTTATTCTGCATAAAAACCATATTTAGGTGATCTTAAGCCTACCTCTCCACTATTAGTACAGCTCTAGTACAGTACTTTTTAGAGTTAATTTTGCCCTAATCCTTATTCTAAAAGAGAGATAGACCTTTCTTACTACCTATAAAGCTGCCCCAGAACATCCAGCCTTTCCTTCTCTAAGCTCTATTAACCGTACAGGTACTATTTATAGCTTCTAACGGTAGCTAAGTTACGTATAGCCTAGTATGGCTTCCACTAGTAACCTAGGTTTCATCTAACCATAGAACAGAATTCTACTATTCTATACTCTAATAAAGATGCTCCTTAGCCTAAAGCTTCCTTGCCCGCATACTTTGTACTGTAAATAGCTGTTTTTGGTAAGCTTACGTTCATATATATCTAGCGTTGCAAAGAGCGTAAGAGATAGCATACTCCTTAACGCCCTAATAGGAAAACTAGCAGGCAAGTTGTGCCTAGGTCATCTACCAATTACGTCGAGATAGCCTAATCAAGGTAATAAGTTCTACAACTTGCTCAAAACTTAGTGCTAGAGGTCTGCCGCTCCTCTTTTTTAGGGTAGTTAGCTACTAAAGTGCGTAGCAAACTTAGCGGTAGGTGACGTAGAGGTGCTTGGCGATCTACTAGCGAGAGAAGCCTGCGTTGTATAACGTTTTAATTATTAGCCTATTGTCTTAACTTAGTTCTGTTAGGCGCTAGAAGGTACTAGAGTTACTTATCTTTGCTAGGAGGATAGCTGGAGCTCCTAAATCTCAAATGAAAAAGCTATGCTAAAAGGGCAATTTTGGACCGGGATTTCGGGCCGATTAGCCCCACTTTTCACAACACTTATCCCGGGATACAGTAGTCACTGTTTGAGGGAAGCCTCTAGCTGCCTGGTCACCTGCAAGATCAAGTCTTGTCGTCGTGCACATTACGCTTCGTAAGCTATGGTAAGCATGCCGTATAAGCCCCAGTAAACAACTCATCACTACTGTAATATATCTGCTTGGTTGCTGCCATGATGGTGGGCGGATTTCATGGGACAACCATATATGTGGAAACCGAATATTTCCACAAGACTGGAATCTCACCCAGTTCTTGACTATAGTCCATACCATATCTAGTCTGACCCGAGTTGCTTACTATCCGCCTGCAAAAATTGCTCGTCCAGGTGAAATTCAAAGATACTAGATGCCAACTCCCCCTAGTATCGACGCAACGTGCACTTCAACCGAAACGGCACACTTGGTCTTTCGACCACAGCCAAGTTCCGGTCAATCAGAGGCGTCTCTGTCATCGGCTCGCCTGCTGCATTGCAGAGCGTAAAATCGAACTTGGCCATAAACATGACTGTCACCATCGCGTTCTCCAACTTGGCAAACTACACCCACATGTCAGTATATCATTTTGTCGATTCACAGTATGAGGCGCCTCACCCTTGTACCCACTACACCCACATGTCAGTCAGATTCGTCTCAAATGACTTGCAGAGAAGGAAAAGGAAAGTATCAAAACTTACAACAAGCATGTCGGCCATAGCCCCAGCCCACAAATCCCAGGGGTACCTTTTTGTCCTCCTCACGCCCTGCCATGTACCGCCCGGGGTCGAACTTCAGAGGCTCAGTGTAGATATCAGCATTCATGTGCACGTCGTCGATAGGATAAGCGACAAAACCACCCTTGGGAATCACTTCGCCCGTGCCTTCAAGCTTCAAGTCCCTGCCGCCGACATTCTTGCGGAATGCGGTGCCCACCGTCTGCAGGCGAATAGACTCTTGCAGGCACAAATTGATGAGTGGAAACTCAGCCTCCCACTCGTCCAGCGTCATCCGCCTCAGTGTCTCGATGGGATCTTGTGGCGAGCCGGTTGGATGCTTGGAAAGGGCCTTGTCGATTTGTCCGCGCACTTGGGCCTGCCATTGTGGATTCAGCGCCAGGTAGCACAGCACCCAAGCCGCGTTGATGCCCGAGTTGAGCAATGCCGCCAGAAGCGCCATGATGAGGAACTAGACGGCCCCATGAATATCAAAACCATCGTCTGTATAATCTCGGGGCTAGAGACGGAAGCGCAGCGCAGAGAGACTTACCGAGACAATTCTGAAGGTCGACTCGCCCTCGTCCATCAGTTGCTGCACAATGTCGTCCTCCTGCCGTCCCGTCTTCCTCCGATCTTCTATGATCCGACTCACCATGAGATAAAACTGTATCCCAGCGACTGAGCGCTTTATATGCTTGAAGGTTGGAAACCACGGGAAAAGTATGCGTACTGGGCTACTGCCTTTATCGATCGTCTCGATGAGTCGTAGCGACTTTTCCAGTAGATCAGGAGAGTCAGCTATCTCTCTCACCCCAATAGTGCGCATAGTCAGATGGTATACAATCCGGTTCATCTCGTCAAAGGGATCAAACATGCCCCCTCTAGCGCCGCAAATGGCCGAAATCCGATCCATTGCCGATGCCACATCGTCGATAAGAAACGGCAGACTTTTCTCAAATGTCGCCTTCTTCAGATGCTTTATCAGCTTCTTTGAGAACCACGCGTCAAACTTGACTCCGTTTTCGGTCACGTTAAAGTCAGGAGTGCCGGTGAGCAAGGCGGCATAACTGCAGCATATTTCCTCAGCAACGCAACAACACTCATCACCAATATCCATGGAAAGACGTACCCATCGGTCATGTTTAACTCTTTGGACTCGTAGAAGACCTTGCGACCTTGTAGCCCTGATACACCCACAACATTGTACCGTCCAATCGAAAAACTATAGTTCCCAGTCTTGCTGTTGGAAGCGCCATCGTTGCAAAAGTCTCTTCGCCGTGTAAAAAACCCCAAAGAACCGACAATGGGAAGGTTTTTCTTGAGTAGCTTGGGCGCAGCGTTGGGGAATCGTGGCCGCCACGAGGCTATCAGGCCCCAGAGAAGGAAGATGCCCACCGAGACCGCAAACACGGCAGAAGGCCAATTCTGGGTTGAAAAATCAAGAGGAAATAACATGTTTGCGCATGCAAAGTTTTGACAATCAAGCGGCTCAAGTGCAAAGAGGATTTCGCTCTGAGGTCCACAATCGCACGAGAACAGGTAAATACTACTATGTACGGAGGTGCCTCACAAAAGTTTTGTCCCACGCTAATCTCGGCGCTTCGGCATAACTCTTCTTGGCGCAACTCCCACCTTTGAGCTGAGTAGCTGTACGATTTGTCTGTATCTATCGTTACAATGTCTCCTAATACTGATCCTTACACCCGCACCTTAATTGTGGCGTTAAAGTCACCTTCTGTTGGCAAGTCTACATCACAGATCTCTGAACTTACTGGTGTTCATCCTCGTACGGTCAATCGTATCTATAGTAGAGCTATTGAGGCTGGTTTCGAGCCAAACGTTCTCCCTCTTAAGATCCTCCCAGAGCACGTACAAGACGCCCCTCGCTCTGGCCGACCTTCAAAGCAGACGGATAAGGTAAAGGAGCAGATAATCCAACAAGTACGACGTGATAGATACGGACGAGAGAAGAGCTGCGCTGACGTTGCTGGTGCTCTCAGTCTTCAAGGAGTCAATATATCACGCACTACAGTCTGGAGAGTATTAAGAGAAGCAGGATACAGAAAGACCAAGCCGACGAGGAAGCCTGGACTGACACAGGAGATGAGGAGTGCTCGTCTTAAGTGGGCGCTTGATCATAAGGACTGGACATTAGAAGACTGGAAGAATGTCATCTGGACAGACAAGACGTCTGTTGTACT